TGAACAAAGTATTACATGACTAATTGGCACGCTTGTCGTTTTGCACTTCTAATGTCACATCGAAATCTATGATATCCAAATGAATAAGAGAGAAATTTTTCATTGTGACAGGAACACGGATGATTCACCACGTGTTTTTATATAAGTGAAATTTTACTTTTTAAGTTATTAACTTTTTAACAACATATCTCACAATTTGCATAGTAACACGTAGTATACCACTCCGTATTTCTATCATATTGAAAAATCTCTTTGAATAAGATTCGTTGGCATCATTTCATACATCCTTGGTACTCTCATTGGACATAACACACTTCCCATCTAGGTATTGCGATTCCCAAGTTATACCCAATAAAAGTAGAGCACAATTGGGTCTTTTGAGCAAACAAATGGGATATGACCGAGTGGGTAGCACCCGGATCAATTAAGATTCTAGCAAGGTGGGCGAGAATGTTCAACATATCCATGATCGAGTCAGGTTTGTTTTGTGCATCCTTGATGGTGATGTTGTTGAGTGCCGACACGACTGTGGGTCTGGTATCCTCCCATGCGGCTTCCTCTATTCCCTTGATTATATGGTTACCTCTGCCTTGGTTTCCTCGACCATGGTTAGCTCGACTCGTTTGTCTACCTTGTCCGCCATTGTTGGATGCTACATCAATAGTTTGATATTGTCCATCAACATACTGATGTGCACTGCCACCCTAGTGTTATGGATAGCTTCCCTGATATTGTGTGACCTTAACTGGATTCTGATAAGTACCTCTTGAATGTGGAAATGGGAATTGCCAATAGATTTACCTCTTGATTGGGGTGTACTTGGGTTAGAACCCTCCTGGAGGATCCAAAAACTGATGGAGCATACCAGCTGGGCTGGTAGCAATGGCATAACAATAACGAGATAAGTTAGTGAACTTCCAATGGTGATCTGCCTTCCCCTGTTTCAAGTTCATAAACTCATCCATTTTCCTTGCCTTTGAAAGCAAGTACTTATTCTTGAATGCTACTTGAAACTGCTCCAACATCTTATTAATCTCCCAAAATCTGGTTCTTCTCATACTTGCACGACGAGCTTACTCTTTCTCGTCGGAACCATACAATTGTCAAAACTCATTATTCAACTAAAAATTTTTCTGTCTTTGCATGGTGTGGACCGTATTTTGAACATGCTCAAGCCAAGCCTTATTACAATTAGTGAGAGTGCGTGGTGCGAAAGAACCCTTATTATAAATGCATGCAGTTTCAGTGCACAAATAAAAGTGCAGTAAAAGGTAAGCATATTCTCATCCTGTGTAGGATAGATATTACACAACTAACAACAAATAAATTTCATGTATTGTGAGAAGTGAAAGTTAGAATCTGCCAATGGTCCCCCGCTCACCGCATAATCCAGCTACTATGTCTTGGAAGAGGGCAAAACAGAAAATGTGATTAGGTGAAAATAAGAATTTATTAAAACCTTTGCCTTTCGGAACATAATAACCCCTTGCTATAAAACCTGAATAGTTTCCAGAATCATAAATATGTATGAAAAACCAAAGTGGAAAGTATAAAAGCAATTATGTCAAGGATACAAGTAAATCACTAATAACTCAACAATGCAGACCATGCAGAAAGTAGTTACATGAACAAGCTGGTATAATAATTCTTTCAGATACATAATTAGGGGTAATTATGGGACCATGATTTTCCAAAGCTAAAGTAAGGCAAATTGAAATATGCATACCTCTAAAATTCGATCATGGACTCGACATTGTCCGATGTGGAGGTGAATAAACGGAGAAATGACGCTACCATCATCATATTTCAGAATCAATAGGCGAAGTCTGACAACTTCACTCAAATTAACCATACTTGTTCCACAAGATACGGAAACCTAATCCAGCAAGGAACCAGCACGTTTCCTATAATCTTAGAGTCCTTACAATCTAAAGATTGTCGTGTGTACAAGTATTCACGCTCCTAAGAGGATGTAATATCTACTTCCTAGATATCCCATGGGATTCTCCCAGTTTATTAAGGATTCTACAATCCTAAAAGGTCATCTCCTCAACCGGTATAACTACACCCTTCTAAGGTTTATCTTTGGTAACACAATTCTTACATACTTAGTCTCTTCTTGCCCACTACTTGAGTCTCATATTTCTTACTAACTTGACCGTCGGAGAGCCTTTGACATGCATGTAGTAAGGTTCTAAATGACCCTAAGCGCTAGTCAAGCAGTAGGTTAGGGCCTATCACCCAGTGGTGAAGCCAAAAGTCGTTCCCAATATGGACCTTTTAGCCATATGAAAGAAATTAGACAAGATATAGTAATATAATTAGTTGGAAATTGGCATGAAAATTTTTAATCAAATAAATGTGATGGAGCTTTAAAATTCATATGAAAAAAATGGTATTGAGAGGATTATATCATAAGAACATAACCTTTGTACGAGTTTTGATAAAAATAAAAATAAAAATAAAAAAGATAAAGGCCCAAATAAAAGTTTGAGGTCAAGAATCTAAACAATTCCTATGAGATTTTTCTAGTGTTCTAAAAATCAGCCTAGGCGGCGCCTAGGCGCTCCACGGTGGCCACTCGCTATGATTAACCCATAGTTGGAAGAAAAATCGGCAAAGAGATTAGGCGGGCGCCGAGCCCTCCTAGGCGGTGCTTAGGCGGCCTAGGTGGGCAACTGGGTAGCCTAGGTGGTGGTTTGGGCATTTAAGATATTTTTTGCATAGCAGCTGGTTCTCTTTCTAGGTTCTACATTTCAAACTCCTTTCCATTGAAGAAGACAAGAGGAAGAAGAAAGAGAAATGAGTTTCTCTCTCTTCCCATTCACACCCGCGCGACGGACAAGACTGACCACGCAACCTTTTTGTTTAATTGTTTTTTAAATTGATTCCAATGGAATTGGGAAATGCAACTCACATAAATATGTATTAAATATTCATTTGGTGCGCCCCATCGCCCTTTTCTGTTGCATATTATCTCACTTAAAAAATGCTATTCAACAGACTACATCACTACATATTTTGACTTTTCTTTTAAGTTCACTATATATTTATAATCTTTGAAAATATTTAGTAAGTACTACAAACTTGTAATCCTTAAAACTTTCATCTCATATTATCAAATTCATCAAAATATTAATAATATAAAATAATTTACTCAAATCTGCCTTATTTGCCTAGGCCCCTCCCCCTAGGCGTTAGGCTCCAGTCCACTGCCCGACTAGCGCCTAGTATCTTTTAGACCCTTGCTTTTTGTATTTTATCATTCATTTATTATCTTATCCATGTATTTCATATAAATATAATTTTTTTGAAAGTGTCAATATGCATTTATTTACAAGATATACTAGAAATTTACCTAAATCCGCCTAGACTGCCTAGACCCCCACCTAGCCGCCTAGGTGCTAGGCGCCAGCCCACCGCCATACTAGTGCCTATCATTTTTTAGAACCTTGAATTTTTCTTGAAGCATAATTTATCTTTGTCTAAATTATATAGACATTGTTTTATGTGAAATGAATAGAAAGAGCAATTAAATTTTATATGGTAAAACAGAAGATTAGTTATAAGGTAGGCATTAAAAAAAAAAAAAAAAAAAAAACAGAATTTTTGTGTTTGAAAAAAAGCAGAAAGTTTGGGTTAAAAAGCAAAACAGAGGTTTGGGTTAAAAAACAAAACAGAAAGCTTTTGGTCCATCACAAGCTTCGAACCCATCACTCCTCCTGTATTGTCAAATACTAATCACCAATGCACCATAGGCTATCTACATTAAAAGAGGCAGACAATTTATATATACTGAATAATTTTAGGATAGGTCCGCCCCTACCCTTCCCTGCATGTGGCTCTATAATTTCTAGGGCTTAGGAGGTTAGGCAGGGCCTAGGCGAACTATACAGATTTAAATAAATTTATTATATATTGTATAAATAAGTGTCTATTCATACTTAAAAAAAATACATAATTGTATAGGGATACAAAAGTTACAAAATAAAATGGTATATGATTATAATGTATTAAAATATATTGAAAACATGGGGAATAATCATATAATGAGTGTTTATTTAAGGATTCAAAAAATCTCTTTCACTTTGTTGAAAAAATAAAATGCAAAATGAAAGTTATCTATTTTATGTATAGGTGAGAGTCGTGATTTAGGTGAGTCTAGACGTGCTAGGCGGGTGCCTAGGCAGGCTAGGTGCCATTTCCTGATTTTCAAATGCTTAGGGAATAATTAAGGCAGTGGCTAGCTGCCTAGTGCCTAAACGGGGATTTTTAGAATAGTGATCTCCAGTCTTTGGCTTGCTTACGACTATTTGTTCTTTTACATGTAACTTGGATTTGTGCATCTCCATCATTTACAATAGTCCGAATTTGGTCCCAACAAGTGTATTCCCTGCATTCCTCACCAGTTTATTATATATAAAGGCACAAGTGATGAGAACAAACAACACATAAATTCCTCAATCCTCTCTTCTCTCTTTTTGTCGCGCCTTCTCTTTTCCTTCAGTAAAATAGGCCGCACCAATTTTAATTTGTCACCCATTACCCCACTAATACCAGGAAGAATTGAAAATATCTTACAACCCAATGCCAAATGCGACTGATATTGAGCTTGAACACAACTCCCAAAATCTGATTATACACTGTAAAAGAGGAGCATTATATGCATGCGGATAACATGTGATTCATCATTTGTAATAAGCTCCTGGTAACAATCTGAAGCCCAGAAGCCCAAACCCGAGGCCCAGTACGACAAGAACCCGAACTTTTTTTTCATTTTGACGAGGAACCCGAACTTCAAAAGCTTCCATTTTTAGGAGATCCCATCCATTGGCTAAGAACAAACAGTCGTCCTATTGAACGGGTGCGATCAGCTCTACCTATTTGAATTCAAAAAAAAGAAACGTTAGGATTCCGAAGCCTCAAGCTCGAGTTCGGTACCTACATTTAGCCCGAAAGCCAAGAGCCCCAAGAATGCTGCATTTTTCATGCTACACTCTCTGTAGAGTGCAGACCCTTCTGCTATTCTCTCTCTCTAGATTCTGGGTTTTACAGAAAAACCCAGAAAATATATCGGGTATGTTATTCAATTTTCTCTCTCTATATCTCGGTACGATAACTTTGGGTGCGTTTTTTTGTTCTTTTGGAATGTTATGTGGTTTAGTATATATTTTTCTCGTTAATTTGCAGGAAAGAAGGAATGGAGGACAGTGCAAGAACTGGACTGCATGATTTTGCAAGGGCTTCAAGAAAGGCAGAAGAAGCAGGTCGGTTGGTTCGTTAAATTCATTTGCATTTTGATGTTCCAATTGGTTTGGTTGCTTGATCAGAATATAAATTTTTGTTTCGATTTTTAATAAAGAGGAATTATGTTTTGGAATTGTTTGTGGAATTAACTAATAGCAACTGTGTTTTCAAGATTTGAACAAATTTTATCCACTGATAGTAATTGGGTTGTGATTGGATCAATTGAATTTTAGATTACTTTCTTGGTTTTTAAATTCCGAAGATCAAGGATGCTGTAAAATTTGCTCTGCATAAATGTTCAGAAACAGACAGGGACCGAAATTATTGATTTTTTAAGAATTGTTGAAATTTTTTAATTTTTTCTTTAATTTCGGAATTTGGTAATTTTGACAGCTTGGAGGCGATTCCAAGCTGTTGAATGGCTTGAATGCCTGGTGGGTCCACTCGGCATACCGAAACAGCCATCGGAGAGAGACTTCATTTCTTGCTTGAGAAATGGTCTGATCCTATGCAATGCCATCAACAAGATTCAACCAGGAGCAGTGCCCAAGGTATCTCATTTCGATCTCAGACTCGTTTTTTTTTCTCTGTTTGGTTGAAGGAAGCGAAGAACGTAAAGGAAAATGATATGTTGGATTTCTGTTGCTGATTGGTTTCCAACAGTAAAAAATCGGCATATGTTCTTGTATATATAAGCGAAGTTTCTAGTTCTATCCAGACCTAACACTTGTTCTCCATTTATTTATTTATATATCCTAATTACTATTTAAGGTTGTGGAGAGCCAAATGCCTTTGCAATCATTAAGTCGGGAATCTCAAGCATTGCCTGCATATCAATACTTTGAGAATGTCCGTAACTTTCTGGTCGCTGTGGAAGAGTTGAAGCTGCCTGCTTTTGAAGCTTCTGGCCTCGAAAGGGTAAATCATTTGCTCATATATGTATTTTATGTACATGTCACCCCTACTTGCATTTTCACATTGTGTGTTCCATATTTATCGTCTCAGGATGCATTGGAGGTAGGGTCAGCAATCAAGGTTGTTGATTGTGTTTTAGCCCTTAAATCGTATTATGAGTGGAAGCAGACAGGCAATGGGAATGGATTTAATAAATATGTGAAATCTCCACTAGTTATGGTTTCTGCCAATAGACCGCATTCAAGGGCCTCAACTGTAGTCCCATCAGAATCTTGCAGGCACTTGGATATGTCTGCCGTATGTGAAAGACAACCTCCTGTTGAAGTTGATGACCGGAAATTTGAAGGTTATATTGATCTCTTTCTTAAGAATTTTATCCATTTCTTATATATGCAGTTTAGTTCATATCTATGGTACATACCTAGACCAGAAACTTTTTACAGAAATTAATTAAATTGATAACATATGCATAATATTGATATTTGTTATGTTCATCAATGAGGGAATATGGATATTTTTAGTAAGAAATATTCGACATCGAACAAGTAACATATAATTAATCAACAAGCCCATTGATTGATGTAGCAGCATACGTAAAAGGATTTCATAAGAAACCTACACTCTTGGTACATTAGTTTCTTTTCATGTTGTGCTATAAAATTTATGCTTGGATGTGGACTATATATTGTTTTTTAATTGTGTTTTCCTTTAAGCCAAGGGTAGCATTTAGTGAATACTGTATATGCCATGGTTACTTCTAGATGCTAAGGATTAATGATAAACTTTCAGTATTGAATATATGACCTCAAAGAAGTAATGTATCATCACATTTGAGTTCATTGATTGATGTAACTTCATGAACACTAAGATTAGGGGTAGTACATTAGCTTTATATTTTGTGGTTATTTCAGATGCTCAGGGTTAAAGGATCCTTATTGAATGATACAAAATTTCTTTTCAATCTGTTAGTAGATATGAAAACATCTGCTCCGAAAAGGCCATCATTCTTATATGGAATCCACAGCTGCTATTTGTAACGATCTTCAGTTTTTCTCCCTAACTCTCATCTTTCTGTTACTTGTGATGTAGTGGATTCCATAGAATCTGTTGTCAAGTTACTCGCTGACTCTATGGTTGACGTAAAGGAAAACATTGATGACAACCTTCTTTCTTCATACCATGGTAGAGACGCGGTAATGATCTCTCTCTCTTTTCTGTCTTTTAAGTTTTAACATAAAGAATGTTACTCAGATTCAGTGAATAAATGCCGGAATATGGATTAGATTTCAAGTTAATTTTCATCTCTTTTAACCAATTTCTTCTGTGCAGAATGCAGTCAGCTGTTTTCGAAGGATCATGACAAGTTATTTGGAGCAAAATCTACAGAAGAAGTTTCCTGAGGTTAGTTTGATTTGAGTGTTACGAGTTGTTTCTATTATTTTTTCTTGGTAATAAATTCCAAAACAAGCCACTTTGTGTTTTAGATTTTCAAGTATCATGATGTGTTTATCTTGTGAAGTAGAGAGAATCAAATAAAATGTAGAGAGTATCCCTAGTTATTTTCCTCTGTTCATTATGATAAATACATATTGGGTGAAAATTTGGGATAAAGTTGCAGTCTAGGAGGTATTTCGGGGAAATTGTTGATATCTGAATGGGATTTCCTTCTGCATCACCTAATGTGCATAGTTCTACAACTTCTTTTATGAACTTAATATAGCTATTTCAGTTGGTTAAGTGACTTCTTTTATGAACTTAATATAGCTATTTGAATTGGTTAAGTTTCTATTTCTTTTGGAAGATCACACCCCTTCCTGCTACCCTATTCGCTCTATATTATGCCAGTGTTTTTACTTGCATGAAGTTGCTCTTAACTCAATAGTATTCATGTGTGCAAACAGTTGAACTCTAAGTTAAAAGACCCCTTGAAAGAAAGAAGCAGCTCACCTGGCCATTCAACAGCTATGCCTCTAGAGGAGTCATCTGCTGTTGAAAATTTTGGAGTATGTCTATTATAATTTAGAAACATTGTTTCTATTTTTGGGTTAGCTTCTGATACTTTATGGTATTGGATGTTGCACCCTGTTTTCTGAGCACTTACTAGATTCTAAAGTATCTGTATCTTTTCTTTCGAATAGTGCTGCAAAGCTTGTATGAGAAAGGGTAACTGCAATCACAGACTTGTATTCCAAACGCAAGAGAAGGAACTTGTGGTATGTTCTCAGTACAAAGTTAGCTTATACGAATAGTGCTGCAAAGCTTATTTTGTTTCTGTCCTCCAAGTGTAGGCTTATATGAATCTCCATCATAATACAAAACTAATTCTGACAATGATTAATCAATATTATCCATAAAGGGTTTGAGATAAATTTCGATTTGTATTGTACTTGATATTGGTTCTGTGGTGATCTTTTGTAAGTTCGTATCTTTAGCATAAATTATATTTAATAACGAAGTAGTAACGGAAAGCTCCTGGTTGGGCAAATAAAATTTCAATTTGAGTCAAAATACAGTTAGTTTATTGCATAATTTCTAGAGGAATAATAGCATGGAAATGGTAATGTAATGATTTTCAATTTACAGGACCTCAAGGCCTTGTGGTTAAGTGCAAAACATGACTTTGAAGACTTACAGACACAACTGAATAGAGATTTGAAACACTTGGGTATGAGCTGATGAAAGAATGTCCTAAATCTGTGTCCTAAATCTGTGCAATTTTACAAAGCTATATGCACATAAGTTTCTTGAAAGTTAATTATGTTTGTGCTCGTGATGTTTCAGGTGCTCAGGTACAGGAGCTGTCTACTGCCGCGCTTGGGTATCACAAGGTGGTGAAGGAGAATCAAAAGCTATACAACATGGTCCAGGATTTGAAAGGTTGGTACTTTTCCCATACTAAAATGTTAGCTTTCTACGGTATTTTTAGTCAACTATCAAAATTTGTTATCTGATCTCGGTTGAAATGTCTTCAGGTAATATTCGAGTTTACTGCCGTATCAGGCCTTCTTTCAATTCTGAATCCAGAAATGTTATAAATTTCATTGGAGAGGATGGTTCACTTGTGATCTTGGACCCTGCAAAGCCCCAAAAGGATGGAAGGAAAGCTTTCCAGTTCAACCGAGTGTTTGGTCCAACTGCTAGCCAAGGTAGTATTACATAAAAACTTTCTTTTTCTTTCGCTTTTGGGCATCGATCGGTTGCTTATTGACTCTATTATACTTTTTTTGCAGATGAAGTTTTTAAGGACACTCAACCATTGATCAGGTCTGTGATGGATGGTTACAATGTATGCATTTTTGCTTATGGTCAAACCGGATCCGGTAAAACACATACTATGGTAAGATACAAGCCTGAGACTTCAGTTGGATAAATCTTTTGTAATGTTAAGGCTGAAATTTTTTGTATAGGAGGGTAGGATTTATGATTGGTTCTCATCTTCTTGCATGCATTTTTGCATACTATAAGAAATGACACATCAGATTTGTGCATACTATAAGCTTTTATATTTTTACAGGGTGGTCCATCAGGTGGATCAGCTGCGGATATGGGGATTAATTATCTAGCTCTCAGCGATTTGTTCCAGATGTCAAACAAAAGGAAGGATATCATAGATTATGACATTCATGTTCAAATGGTCGAAATTTACAATGAACAAGTACGAGACCTTCTTGCAGAAGATTCATCCACTGCCAAATTAGAGATACGGAGCTGCACTGGTGATAATGGCTTGAGTATTCCAGATGCTACAATGCATTCAGTGAAGTCTTCTACTGATGTCCTAAACCTCATGAAAGTTGGTGAGATGAATCGTATGGTCAGTTCGACTGCAATCAATAACCGCAGCAGCCGTTCCCATAGGTCAGTTTGCTCTTTTATAAGAAAAAGCTTACCTTTACCATTTCATAGCTTATGATACAATATCTAAAAACTATCGAGTGCGAGCTAAAATAAAAACAAAAACAATGAGCAAGATATCAGTTATTTGTGCTTACTGATATTCTTTGGTGTGTATCGCAGTGTCCTTACAGTCCATGTGAATGGCAAAGATACTTCTGGAGGTACTCTACGCAGTTGCCTTCATTTAGTTGACCTTGCGGGAAGTGAAAGAGTGGACAAATCTGAAGTTACAGGAGATAGGCTGAAAGAGGCACAGTATATCAACAAGTCTCTTTCTTGTTTAGGAGATGTTATCGCAGCCTTGGCTCAGAAGAATTCTCACATCCCTTACAGAAACAGCAAACTCACACTTCTGTTGCAAGACTCCTTAGGTTTGTAATTTCTCGAATATTCAGCATTTCTCTCTAATCATTTTATCTTATTGTATTGGCTTTGAGCAAGATCTTCCACATTATAAGGGTGAGAAATTTGGTTAACTGTTTGCTTGGATTCAAAATAATTCCACCGTATGATTGGTGAAATGGAAAACTTGAGAAGCTGATTCCCGGGGAGTTTAAATTATCACTTCCCCGTAGCCCTTATTCAATGAAAAGAGTTTCCAATTGTATGGTGCATATACTGTGTACTGACTGAGCTAACCCAACTTTCTCTTTGGTTTTGTACTTCAGGTGGACATGCTAAAACTTTAATGCTTGCTCATGTGAGTCCAGAAGAGGATTCCTTCAGTGAAACTATCAGTACCTTGAAGTTTGCTCAGAGAGTTTCCACTGTGGAACTCGGTGCTGCTCGTTCAAACAAGGAGAGTGGTGAGGTTATGCAACTCAAAGAACAGGTGAACAAATTTTATTAATTTGGTTTATTCTGCCTATATTTTCACAAATTCCTTTTACTCTCTATGCTTGGATTGATCATTTGTTCTATCTAAATTAATCCCCAAGCTTTAGATTATCAGCAAAACATTATAGTTGTTTATGCACTAACACTTGTATCGTGTTTCTAACCTTTCAGATTGAGAGACTTAAAAAGGCATTAGCAAACAAAGAAGGTCAGTGTGTATCAAGAACAACAACTGAGAGAACTCCTCAACGTCTTAGAAGATTAAGCATTGAAAGTTGCAGCACTGTGAAGACCGAGAAGGCAAAAACCCCTTATCTTCCAACTCGTTCAAGGAGGTTGAGCTTGGAAGGTCCAAGATTGATTAAGAAGGATAATCTAAATATATCGCATGACATGGGGAAATTCCTTCCAGCTGAGGCAGTGCCAATGCAGGAATGTGGTCAACTTCAAAATGCAGCAGCAGTCACTACCCCGTTGGGCCATTTCAGTAATGCGGATTCCACATTAGAAGTGTTTTGTTCCAAGGCTCCTCAAAGTCCAACGAGCGTTACCTCCGAGAAGCAAGTGTTAGAAACTGATATTAGAACACAAGTTCATTCTCTTCAGCCACCAAAAACACCCGAACCTCGTCCCAGGACTCCTCTAACTCCAGCAAGTACTACATATCAGAAGCGAGTGTTGAAACCAGGTAGTAGAAACCAAGTTCCTTCTCCTCAGAAACCAACAACATCTGAGCCTCAGACCAAGGCTCCTCGCAGCCCGAAGATGGCTCCTCGTAGCCCAAAGATGGCTAGCAATCAGAAGAGAGGGTTAATAACAGATAATAAGACACAAGTTCGTCCCCTTCAGCTATCAACAACGACGCCCGAACCACAAAAGCATTCCAGAAATGAGGTACAGATTGTCATGCAAAGTAAGGTGACTCTTTCTACAGATTACCTGACACCTAATTTGACAAGTTCCACAAGTCGAAAAGGATCTCAGATAAGGAAATCCCTGCGGACTATTGGAAAACTGATCAATGGCTCTGAGAAGAGGTGGGTGAAACTCATGTTTTGAATTTTCTTCTTTCTTTCTTCTCCTTATAGTCTGGGACATTTCTCTATTTTTCCGGTTTACATAACATATGTTTTACATTGTTATGATGCCTCAAACATCAGATACACATATGAACATAATTCCCCACTGAATTTGCAGGAACCAGCAAAGTTTGGTGGAAGCACAGTCAAGTGTTAAATGTGCAAGCAATATCAATGATGGAAAATCACCGGTTACAAATAATGCAAGAACTTTGAGGCGGCAATCACTGACCGGCATTCCACCATCAGGGTATGACAGACGATCATCTCTGGGAGAGAAGCCAACCGAAACTAGTATGTAAAGCTTTTACAAGCTTCATTACATTCTAGAACAATCTTACTAGTTAGAGCTTTCACATTCATATATCATTTGAGTTTCTTATGGCGTTTCCTTTTGCAGGTGCAAAAGACAACAGAAGTGCCAAAACACCTCCGCCAGACAACAGAAGTTCCAAAACACCTCCGCCAGTCCGTTCATCAACAAAAAGTAACAAGCGGTGACAACAGATAATTTGATTCAGACACAGTCCAGCAATTGCCGGAAAAAGGCTTGGTAACGCTTTGGCTCAAAGCATACTGACTTGTATGGCAATCAGAGAATGCTTCATATATTGTCTGCTAACATGATCTACTTGACTTGAGATCCCAATTTTGTGTCCTATGTGTTTCATATATTGTCAAGTGATGATCCTCCTTGTAATTGTAGTACCTAGTTTGGATCCACATTGTGAAGTTCTGGTATTAAAAGTGATTCGGTTCCAGTTTCTTGTCTCGTTTGGTCCACTAGTATTTGATTTAGGGAAATGATACGCACACCCAAATTATATCCGTTGTTTCTATTTGACTTTTAAATATGATGGCCAGAAATAAATGATATATATCACCAATTCTGTGTTCCCTACAGCTCGGTGAAAATTGCAAAGAACCAGTTTGATATCTCTTCCTTAACATGAGGAGATGACAAAAACATCTTCTCTTCATTTCTCAAATGGTCGAAATTTTTAGGCTCGTTTATAACTATTTCCTTTTTGTTTTAATTTCAATTTTTTTTTTTTTTAAAAAAAAAAGAGGAAAAGTATAGAAGAGAAAAGAGGGATGAGCAAAAGTGAAGGAAGGATGGAGGGAACGAAGTGGAAGAAATGTACGTGGAAGAATACACTAAAAATGAAAATGAAAAACAAATTTGAATCATTTTTTTTTCTTACGTTCTTCTTCATTTGTCTCTCCTCCCTCCCCCCACCCACTCTCCACCCTTCATTCACTATTTCAATCCTCGTTCTTTGATATACGCTTCTTTTATCCATATGAAAAGTTGAAAATCAAAAATAAATTTTTCGGGGTCCAATTGCATGACTCCTCTAAGAACTCATGAGATTCTGACAAGAAGCGCAGTTAAGTCTAACACGTAATAATTATGATCACATATTGAATATGAGTATTCAATATAAAACCAATTGACAATTAAACTGAAAGAACCAAAATATTTTAATAACTAACACATATTTGCATTCCCACATCCCATGTAAGGTTGATATTCTCTCAATAAACACTGGTTCCAATAGGTTTTTACTTTATTATGGTTGCAACTTGCAACTTGAGTTTTGCATAATGTGTGATATAATATTTCTTTTTGAATGTGAAAGAAGGGACCAAAGCCCATGTGAGATATAACACTTGCATATAGTGTATTGTATACCTTTTGGGGATTTGTGACACACCCCGACCCAGAAAGTCCACTTGGACCCTGAATCGAGCTGTGCTGGCCGACACCTGGAAGGTGACGAAGCCATAAAATGTGATAGTGCATAAAAAGTGAATAAATTTGAATCTAAAAGTGTCTAAGTACCAGAGTGCGCTATGAGTGGGAGCGAACCCATATCACACGCGATGTCAGAGCATAGGTAAGGTACAGTAGTGCGGGTAAGAATCATACCCTCAAAATTATCCATCAATACTAAGATTCGCCACAGATTCTTGTCGATACAAACTCAGCAGCTAAAACCTGGAGGGCACCAAACAGAAGGTGTGAGTAAGCCATAAAACCTGGAGGGCACCAAACAGAAGGTAGTATTACATAAAAACTTTCTTTTTCTTTCGCTTTTGGGCATCGATCGGTTGCTTATTGACTCTATTATACTTTTTTTGCAGATGAAGTTTTTAAGGACACTCAACCATTGATCAGGTCTGTGATGGATGGTTACAATGTATGCATTTTTGCTTATGGTCAAACCGGATCCGGTAAAACACATACTATGGTAAGATACAAGCCTGAGACTTCAGTTGGATAAATCTTTTGTAATGTTAAGGCTGAAATTTTTTGTATAGGAGGGTAGGATTTATGATTGGTTCTCATCTTCTTGCATGCATTTTTGCATACTATAAGAAATGACACATCAGATTTGTGCATACTATAAGCTTTTATATTTTTACAGGGTGGTCCATCAGGTGGATCAGCTGCGGATATGGGGATTAATTATCTAGCTATCAGCGATTTGTTCCAGATGTCAAACAAAAGGAAGGATATCATAGATTATGACATTCATGTTCAAATGGTCGAAATTTACAATGAACAAGTACGAGACCTTCTTGCAGAAGATTCATCCACTGCCAAATTAGAGATACGGAGCTGCACTGGTGATAATGGCTTGAGTATTCCAGATGCTACAATGCATTCAGTGAAGTCTTCTACTGATGTCCTAAAACTCATGAAAGTTGGTGAGATGAATCGTATGGTCAGTTCGACTGCTATCAATAACCTCAGCAGCCGTTCCCATAGGTCAGTTTGCTCTTTTATAAGAAAAAGCTTACCTTTACCATTTCATAGCTTATGATACAATATCTAAAAACTATCGAGTGCGAGCTAAAATAAAAACAAAAACAATGAGCAAGATATCAGTTATTTTGTGCTTACTGATATTCTTTGGTGTGTATCGCAGTATCCTTACAGTCCATGTGAATGGCAAAGATACTTCTGGAGGTACTCTACGCAGTTGCCTTCATTTAGTTGACCTTGCGGGAAGTGAAAGAGTGGACAAATCTGAAGTTACAGGAGATAGGCTGAAAGAGGCACAGCATATCAACAAGTCTCTTTCTTGTTTAGGAGATGTTATCGCAGCCTTGGCTCAGAAGAATTCTCACATCCCTTACAGAAACAGCAAACTCACACTTCTGTTGCAAGACTCCTTAGGTTTGTAATTTCTCGAATATTCAGCATTTCTCTCTAATCATTTTATCTTATTGTATTGGCTTTGAGCAAGATCTTCCACATTATAAGGGTGAGAAATTTGGTGAAATGTTTGCTTGGATTCAAAATAATTCCACCGTATGATTGGTGAAATGGAAAACTTGAGAAGCTGATTCCCGGGGAGTTTAAATTATCACTTCCCCGTAGCCCTTATTCAATGAAAAGAGTTTCCAATTGTATGGTGCATATACTGTGTACTGACTGAGCTAACCCAACTTTCTCTTTGGTTTTGTACTTCAGGTGGACATGCTAAAACTTTAATGCTTGCTCATGTGAGTCCAGAAGAGGATTCCTTCAGTGAAACTATCAGTAACTTGAAGTTTGCTCAGAGAGTTTCCACTGTGGAACTCGGTGCTGCTCGTTCAAACAAGGAGAGTGGTGAGGTTATGCAACTCAAAGAACAGGTGAACAAATTTTATTAATTTGGTTTATTCTGCCTATATTTTCACAAATTCCTTTTACTCTCTATGCTTGGATTGATCATTTGTTCTATCTAAATTAATCCCCAAGCTTTAGATTATCAGCAAAACATTATAGTTGTTTATGCACTAACACTTGTATCGTGTTTCTAACCTTTCAGATTGAGAGACTTAAAAAGGCATTAGCAAACAAAGAAGGTCAGTGTGTATCAAGAACAACAACTGAGAGAACTCCTCAACGTCTTAGAAGATTAAGCATTGAAAGTTGCAGCACTGTGAAGACCGAGAAGGCAAAAACCCCTTATCTTCCAACTCGTTCAAGGAGGTTGAGCTTGGAAGGTCCAAGATTGATTAAGAAGGATAATCTAAATATATCGCATGACATGGGGAAATTCCTTCCAGCTGAGGCAGTGCCAATGCAGGAATGTGGTCAACTTCAAAATGCAGCAGCAGTCACTACCCCGTTGGGCCATTTCAGTAATGCGGATTCCACATTAGAAGTGTTTTGTTCCAAGGCTCCTCAAAGTCCAACGAGCGTTACCTACGAGAAGCAAGTGTTAGAAACAGATAGTAGAACACAAGTTCATTCTCTTCAGCCACCAAAAACACCCGAACCTCGTCCCAGATCTCCTCTAACTCCAGCAAGTGCTACATATCAGAAGCGAGTGTTGAAACCAGGTAGTAGAAACCAAATTCCTTCTCCTCAGAAACCAACAACATCTGAGCCTCAGACCAAGGCTCCTCGCAGCCCAAAGATGGCTAGCAATCATAAGAGAGGGTTAATAACAGATAAGAAGACACAAGTTCGTCCCCTTCAGCTATCAACAACGACGCCCGAACCACAAAAGCATTCCCGAAATGAGGTACAGATTGTCATGCAAAGTAAGGTGACTCTTTCTACAGATTATCTGACACCTAATTTGACAAGTACCACAAGTCGAAACGGATCTCAGATAAGGAAATCTCTGCGGACTATTGGAAAACTGATCAATGGCTCTGAGAAGAGGTGGGTGAAACTCATGTTTTGAATTTTCTTCTTTCTTTCTTCTCCTTATAGTCTGGGACATTTCTCTATTTTTCCGGTTTACATAACATATGTTTTACATTGTTATGATGCCTCAAACATCAGATACACATATGAACATAATTCCCCACTGAATTTGCAGGAACCAGCAAAGTTTGGTGGAAGCACAGTCAAGTGTTCAATGTGCAAGCAATATCAATGATGGAAAATCACCGGTTACAAATAATGCAAGAACTTTGAGGCGGCAATCACTGACCGGCATTCCACCTTCAGGGTATGACAGACGATCATCTCTGGGAGAGAAGCCAACCGAAACTAGTATGTAAAGCTTTTACAAGCTTCATTACATTCTTGAACAATCTTACTAGTTAGAGCTTTCACATTCATATATCATTTGAGTTTCTTATGGCGTTTCCTTTTGCAGGTGCAAAAGACAACAGAAGTGCCAAAACACCTCCGCCAGACAACAGAAGTTCCAAAACACCTCCGCCAGTCCGTTCATCAACAAAAAGTAACAAGCGGTGACAACAGATAATTTGATTCAGACACAGTCCAGCAATTGCCGGAAAAAGGCTTGGTAACGCTTTGGCTCAAAGCATACTGACTTGTATGGCAATCAGAGAATGCTTCATATATTGTCTGCTAACATGATCTACTTGACTTGAGATCCCAATTTTGTGTCCTATGTGTTTCATATATTGTCAAGTGATGATCCTCCTTGTAATTGTAGTACCTAGTTTGGATCCACATTGTGAAGTTCTGGTATTAAAAGTGATTCGGTTCCAGTTTCTTGTCTCGTTTGGTCCACTAGTATTTGATTTAGGGAAATGATACGCACACCCAAATTATATCCGTTGTTTCTATTTGACTTTTAAATATGATGGCCAGAAATAAATGATATATATCACCAATTCTGTGTTCCCTACAGCTCGGTGAAAATTGCAAAGAACCAGTTTGATATCTCTTCCTTAACATGAGGAGATGACAAAAACATCTTCTCTTCATTTCTCAAATGGTCGAAATTTTTAGGCTCGTTTATAACTATTTCCTTTTTGTTTTAATTTCAAATTTTTTTTTAAAAAAAAAAAGAGGAAAAGTATAGAAGAGAAAAGAGGGATGAGCAAAAGTGAAGGAAGGATGGAGGGAACGAACTGGAAGAAATGTACGTGGAAGATTACACTAAAAATGAAAATGAAAACCAAATTTGAATCATTTTTTTTTTCTTACGTTCTTCATTTGTCTCTCCTCCCTCCCCCCACCCACTCTCCACCCTTCATTCACTATTTCAATCCTCATTCTTTGATATACACTTCTTTTATCCATATGAAAAGTTGAAAACCAAAAATAAAACTTGAATTAATTATCAACACCTTGTTGTTGTTTTCATTTTTCGAGGTCCAACTGCATGACTCCTCTAAGAACTCATGAGATTCTGACAAGAAGCGCAGGTAAATTTAACACGTAATAATTATGATCACATATTAAATATGAGTATTCAATATAAAACCAATTGACAATTAAACTGAAAGAACCAAAATATTTTAATAACTAACACATATTTGCATTCCCACATCCCATGTAAGGTTGATGTTCTCTCAATAAACACTGGTTCCAATAGGTTTTTACTTTATTGTGGTTGCAACTTGTAACTTGAGTTTTGCATAATGTGTGATATAATATTTCTTTTTGAATGTGAAAGAAGGGACCAAAGCCCATGTGAGATATAACACTTGCATACAGTGTATTGTATACCTTTTGGGGATTTGGACATGTGCAATTAAATTATATTAAATCTTTAAAATCTTTGAGATCTTTAAAAACCCAAGAGAAAAGGCATGCTCTTGGTATCAAGTTTAATATTTTAATATCATGTGACTTGGATACTGCACAAGAAATATTCTATGCTTCTCACGCATGTTTGTGCATTTAGTTGTATGCATCTTACTTTCTTATTTGTTTAAATTCGCTCTTTTTTTATGATAAAAATTAAAGAGGAAGAAAGTTTGAATTAGAATCGTAATAAATTGAGGAAGAAAACTTTATCAATCAGTACTATCCATGCTTACCAGGAACACGTATAATTGTTCTAGTTGTGTCATAATTCTACAGTTGTGTGAATTGGGAAGGGTATCAACATCTTCACCTATCTCCATCTAGCTTCAATTATGCATTGAATATTTCCAATATTATTGCTATTGTACTTTCTTACTTCAGTGATATGAGTTTCTCTAAATTTGGTGCTATGCGCTCTATGCATAATTCTAATAATCTTTCTTTGAATGAACACTTTTGTACTACTTTTGTCATGAAATTGTCAAACAAAGAGATTAACAAATTTCATGCCATGCAGAGTTTGAACTACATATGTGCCCCGTAGCCTCCTCCATGTGAGAGAATTTGGGAACATTTACAAAAAGAGAGAGGTTGAGAGCAAAAGAGCTTTGCTCTCTAAGTATCAAAAAGTAACAAAAGAAGGGTTGAGATTTAACTAGAACATCTTAAGCATCAAAAGATAAGAAAGAACAGTTGAGATTTAACTAAATAATATTTAATTAAATCTCAACCTCTCGTGAAAAATAGTAAAATAAATGACATTGTGTTTATGTCACATTTCATTACGATTCTTGTAGTGAGCTTTTAATTTTAGATTAACCCTGTGGGTTAAAAAAAATACTATTAATCAAGTCGTCGTGATAAAAGTATGTTAACAATCACAGTACAAATCGAAATTTTCTGTCAAAAGTGTCTGGACATGGAGGGCCTAAATAAAATTTGGGAAACTTGTATAGGAGATGTGAAATGATGAAAAGGTAACTTAATTATATATTATTAAAATTACATTGTTTTTTAAAAGATAAAAAATAATAAAAAATAGATATTTTCCTCAACTGAAGAAACCAATAACCTCAACGGCTAGTTTTTTGGCAGGGGTATCCAGTATCCTCCCATGCAATGTAAATTGCGAATTGCAAAACCAAGTGGCATGTGGTCCCCTCTATATCTGCCACCTTTATCATTGATCATTTCTTAAAAAGAATGGCTAATTGTATTTTATAACCTTTAGATCTGGGTGACTTCCAAAATGGGCAACGAAGTTTTAATTGTCTCACGTTGCATTGTAAAGTCTTACAATTGTATCAAATTTGTGTTAGTGGTCTTACTGAATTTATGATAGTTCATTAAAAATTAATGATGTGGTGATCTTAAGATACTTAACGTGTAAGTCGCATTTCCACCAAATTAAAAAAGAAAACTCATCAAGTTAAGGGAGGATTAAACATTCAAAGAAACAAAAAATGTAAATTGATGTATTTTTCAAACCTCATTGTGCATGTAAGGAAACTGGAACCTCATGACTCATTTTTAAAACTATATCAAACATGTGGGGTGTAAAATATAGTCGATAAAAAAAAAAGAAATTCGTCTACAATGAAATGTCAATCAAGATGGTCTTTTTTATTTAGTTACAAATAAGAGTTTCGAGCTCACATTGTAGAGTGTAAATAACAAAAATGTCACCAGAATAGTATTTCAAACTTACGTACAGTACGTTATTGACTAGAAGTAAGGATTATCTTCATTGCATTTAAACATGGAAAACAATGCCAAATGAAATTAGGTTATGCCTTGTCAAAGTCGCCTCAATCTCAATGCATTCATTTTTCTGCACAATAAAAGATGAATTTGCTCGTAAGGTAAAAGATAAAATAAAAAGGTTGAAAAGCTGCATAGCCTTTTTCAGTTCAAGTATAAATAGAAGTAGTATAACGTTCCCATAGCTTTGTTAAAGGTTTTTTTTTATTTTTATATTTTATATATATATTTTTTTTAAATGAAACGATTGATGATCAGTTACAGTTATCCATTTTTTTTCAAGCTTAAAGAGGCTATAGAAGATTTCATCCTGTCCGTAACCACTGTCAAACAAACTCATCAGCTCGAAGTATCGAACTCGAAATCTTCCACATTTTTTAATTTATTAAAAGCCGCAGTCCGTGCTCTTATCACTTGACCACTTGTTGTGCATCAATACCTTTGCTACTTGGATGGATGCAATAATGCATTCTTCTGACTATATTCACATGGATGGAGAATAGTTATGACATTTATATAACTCTATGAATAATACCTTAAAAAATAGATATTTAGAGAGATCCTTTATTGATTCACATGTGATGAACTTGTTTGGTTGTTTGGCAAACAGAAAAACAATCGTACACGTGCTCATATTTGTAGTTTGCCACATAAATATTTATATTATCAAACTGTAAATCTAAATTACGTGTTCTTATGGATATTAATTCGATTAAGGGTTCAAATTGAGTCAACAAAATAAGCATTTTATGTTGTCAAATTGTGAGACAAGAGAATCTTCTTGTTTAGTCAATGTTCTTAAATAAAATTAGCAAAAAATAAAAAGGAAGAGTAGATAATAAAATCTTGCAGGAGAAACTAAGATGCAGAAACATATGGTTAAGGATGCAGACAAAAGGGATACAGGCTGCCTAACGCTGGAAGCATGCATGGTGGGTTCAAATGCATAAAGATGTAGTTTCCTATCAATGTTTTGGCCTAAAAGATGCATGTGCCAATCATAGAGGATGTAAAAACCATTCAACTAGAATACATGATAATTGCAGAAAATATGACTAGGGAACATGGCTAAATTTATAAATAAAACTAGGGCATTGGTCTCTAGAATTTAACGAAATTGGTATTTCGGCCTCATACAAAAAATTCATGAGTACTGGTCGTTGGATTTGTCACTACATAAAACAACGGTTTTTACAGGTGATATCGTTAATTCTTTCATCCAAATTAAAAAGGATTAAAAGAGTATGGATGGAAGTTCTAACGATTGTTAACCAAAATGACCATTATTTCGAGTTCAAGTTCAATACTCACAAATGTTTAGTACAGTGATCAAAACTCGAATAAAACTAAACTTCAGAAACCAATGCTCCAATTATCCCAAGTTCATGAGCCAGCCAATTTTTCTGTGTTCATAAGTCAACGTCACCATTAAAGACAAACACAATGCCCCATAAGCTTGTTGAACTTACAGACCAACAGACATATCCATCGACAAAAGAATTGCAGAAAGAAACAAAAATCGGAGTCATGAATTTGCAGCAAAGTTAGACAACAGAGAATAAAAAGTTCAATTTGTTACAAATTCACTTGAATGGAAAAAAAAATTGCTTTTGAGGCAGAAAGTTAAATGGTAAAAGTAAACGGGTGCAAGAAGAAAAGAATAAAGTTGCTCAAAACATCGAAGTATTTACCAAAATCAAGTGTCTTTGTGCAATTCTAAATTTACATAGGTCACATTTATATACAGCAATAATCTTCCTAGTACACATTTTATGCCATCTACAACCTTCAAAATGATTCAAGCAAGGTAAAAAATGTAAGTAAAACCATCAGAATTACTGTGATTGAAGATGGGGGTGATTGTTCAACCTGTGGAAGATGTAATCGTAAGCACGAACCAATCGCTTCCGAAATCTTCGGAGGTCTAATCTCACAGTTTGGCCATCAAGATAGATCTTCTTTGTGTACTCCCATCCCATTTTGGTTACACTCTGTGGATCCCTAAGAACAGGATCATCCTTATCGTATTTGGCGTACAACGAGCTCTCTCGAGTAAGAATCTGGTAGCCGATGTATTTCAACCCGAGCTTCCTTGCAGGTTCTCCATAGTATTCCTCCGCTGCCCACTCAGTTCCTAGGGGAACAACTTGGATGAACACAGACCCAGGCCTCATGAACATAAAATGTGTCA